GGGTGTGGGTGTGCGAGAACAGAAAATTACGACTCACACGCACACCCACCCACCCACACCCACACCCACCGACACTCACACCCCACATCCACACCCACCGACACTCACACCCCACATCCACACCCACACCCTTTTATGACAACGTAATTTTTTCAGTGCTCGTTCTTACTTGACAATGTTAATCAGTTATTCAATGTTTGTATTCGTAATTTAAATATAAGTTTACAAGCACCATCATCGTACATCACGAATAAATAGTTCAATAAATGCATCACTGATAAATAATCATTCGACAGTCAGAACTCTTAATTCATCAATTACTGTAACAAATCGATTAGTAAATGTCTCTTCTTCTGCTCCAATATCAAAATTTCATCAAATAACTCCTTGAACACCAGCTATAAAAAAAACCAAAACAATCAGTAAAAAGTGTTTTTTCTCTTTGTTTTAATGTTATATGAAAACTTTTTTCTGTTAGTTAATTAGTTTGTTTGTTTTTCTTTTCTCTATTTAAATATAGTCCAACGATAAAAACGAACAAGTTCAATAGAATTATTTAAATCGTTACCATCATCGTTTTTAAAAGGTCGTTGTTTATAAATGTTTGGAAACCATTTTTCACATAGAATTGAAACAATATCAACTGATCGATAATGACAAAATTCATTAAATTGAGGAGCTATTTTTTTTAATTCACTTCGTACTGGACCTAAAAATTTTCCAGCTACAATAAGAAATCTTTCTCGATAAATTTGATTTCGATGAACAAATTTCATTAAATCATCATTTGTTTTTCCATCAATAATTTTATCAATTATATTAAGATTCTTATCAGTTAAAATACAATGTATTATTGTTGAGCTAATATTTATCCATATAAGATATTGTGTAATGTCTTTCTTTGAAGGCAATTCATTTTGTTGGGTGTGGGTGTCAATGTGACTGTTGCTGTGGGTTGTCTGTATCTGCTAACAACGACACCCACATTCACGTCCACACCCACACCCACACCCACACCCTAGGAAAGCCAATCCTGATTTTATGTTGTGATATTACTGAAGAGAACCTATCAAACGGACGTAAAAAAGTCGTACAAAACAACTTATAGAAAGGAATGTAAATATAAGCTGATTAATAAAGTTTCGATTCGATATTTTGTTTGAATCATTTTCGACCAAAATGAAAATCGCCCTGAATTACCCATAATCATAACTGCATGTATTTGGAATTTCCAAGTGACTCAGACTAAAGGAAGAAAAAGAATCGAAAAAAACCTTTCTGTTTGTTTTTTGTTTGTTTCTTTTTCTAATAAATACAGCAGACACTGCCTGACGAAGAATTTGAAATCGAAAATGGCAATGCCAGACAAAACAAATAATCATTATGACATCATCTGTGAACGGTTATTTGCATTAAATTCATGGACATATGAACAAAAAACACGTTTATTAGATATTATTACTGATTGGACGGCTAAATTTGAGCATTCAATGCCAACACAATTGAACAATAAGCTGAGGCATTTGCGTGAAATTTTTACACATAATGTTACTATCGTTCCGTTATTACCAGTAGAAAGTATTCTTAAAGTTATACAATCAACTGAAATTCCAGCTGAACTATGGCTTGATTGTCTCCTTGCTGCAGTTCAGTCATCATCAGATAAAAATAATGAAAATAAGATCTTATTCGATTTTACACCAGTGAAAATTCCAACAATTGGTTCCACCTCATCCGGTTTGTTCAATTCGTGTTCATCTGAACAAGAATTGCAAAATGATGAGTAAAAAAGTTTTTTTTCTCTATATGAAATAAACAACATTCAAATTATTTTTTCATTAGGTTTTCAAGTATGTTTGATCAATCACCAATTAAAGACGTTAATTTAACTGAACAACTGCTTTCATTTCGTCCCTCATTAACTATGCCAAAGACCACATTTAATAAAACTCATAGTGAAGAACCGTTAGAAGTATATCGAAAAATACTTCATGATAATCTTGAAGAATTACATCAACTTAAATGGGATCAATCATCTGTAGATTCACTTCGACGTACATTTACTAATCCTCAAAATTTTAACGATCTCTCATCGATTAAAACAGCTTTATTTGTTGTTGAAACTATAGTTGTGAATCGCATATCATTTCCATCACATATTGAACGTATTGTAAATAAAATAACTAAAAGTTCCTCAAATAAATGGATGGATGAATTAAATAGAATTGTTAATGAGCAAGGTAAAAATAAATCATTACAAACATTACTTCAAGAATTAGGTCAAGGAAATTCAACTTTAAATCTTGTCGATTTGGAAGAACGATATCAAAAAGTAATGAGTTATTATGAAAACGAAACAGCTCTAATGACATCAACCGATATTCAAAATAGACGAAATTATAAGAATGAATTTTATAAAATTGCTGTTATTATTCAAGGTGTTTATATATTTAAACAAGTGCGACCAAGAGATATTCAAATTTTATCACTTCTTCTTTTCATTGAAAATCAACAAAAAAACCGAGGACGATTAGCTCAAATACGTACCGGTGAAGGCAAATCAATTATTATAGCAATGTGTAAGAAAAATAGATTTGTTTAATGCAATAGATTGTCATAATCTCTCGTTTTTAGTGGCTGCATATTTATCATTAGCACCAGCAAAAAAATGTGTAGATATTATTACAACATCTGAAGTTCTTGCTCAACGTGATGCTGAAGAATTCGCATCTTTCTATCAAATGTTCAATCTTACAGTTGGACATAATTGCCATGAACCTTCTCAAACTCCAAATTATAGTGTTGATATTATTTATGGAACAGTAAATCAATTCGCTGGTGATTTACTGCGTACTGAATTTTATTTAGAAACAAAAGTACGTGGTAATCGACCTTATTCGGCAGTTATCGTTGATGAAGTTGATAGTATGTTTATTGATCAACGTGAACATTTTACACAATTAGCATCATTGACACCTGGTTATAAATCATTAAATGTTATATTGAAATTTATTTTTATATTTTTTAAAAAATATAATATTACAGAAGACAATGAGTTTGTTATTCAACAAGCAAATGGCTTTGTTAAAGGTAAGATAATTAATTACTCAAAGTATTTAATATTAAAAATAAAGACTATAGTTCACATCAATTGAAGTCTTGCCCTTCCCTAAGATTAGTCTGATTTTTTTTCAATGGTAAATATATAGCGAGAAAGTGTAAATATTATTGTATGTCACACTACGTTCATTCTAAATAATGGATGGAAATCAAACAAGAAAAACAATAACAGAGAGAAAAAAATAGACGTTTTTTTTACAATAGGTACTCTTAAGTTAAGTTATAATTGGAATATTTAAAAGTTCATTTTCATAAATCCATCTATCGGATTAATGGAACAATAATAAAGTATATTATTAATAGGAATTTCAAAACAAAATTCAGATTGAAAGTGGTGCAAATTTAGTTATGTCATGGATCAAGGTTCAAACAAACATGAGATTTGTTATTTGTGTCGCGTTAATTTTTCTTTGCATCTCTGATGAGTTACGAATATCACGTACAAAAAAGAACTATCAATATTAGACAACTCCATTTTGTATTCATCTAAGTCCTTCCCTCCTCAAAAAAAATTGATTTCGAGATTTACATATATCCTGATAGGTGTTGCGATGAATTTCAAACTGACATAATTTATTTTTCTTAAAAGAAGAAACAAAGTTAGTATCATATAGGCTTCAATTGTGTGGAGAAATTACTATTTGAGTTATCAAATTGTATAAAAAGAAATGCCTTTAAAAATCTAGAAAAGTTCAAAACTTGAAAAAGAAATGGCATATTTTGCATTGACTAAAAAATTGAGAAAAAGACACGTGCGACTTGAAGTGACACGTCTACGTATAAGGAACCTTGATCACAACTTTGGCATAATATGCGCTTCTAGAAGCATTATGGAAGATACGCATATACAACATCTAATACAGCTGAACGAATAATGCAAAAACATTGTTTTTCGTTTTTCTTAAAATCAGTTTTTTCGAGTATACCATTTACGTAAGCAGGCAAACAATTCTTAATAATGATTCAATATAAAAGTGATCATTTTTGTTTATAATTCAGCAGTGTTAGAGTTAGATCGTAATAGAACCTGAGTTTTGAATTTGTCTTTTTACTGAAGCTTAGATCTTTCTTTTTAATTAATGAGTTTTTAGCAAGAGTTAGCTTAAAATGTACACTAGAATTTAAAAAGACACCCTAACATGTTAGCTCAGATCCTCATTTTGAAAAGCTCGTCTGCGTGGAGAGTACTTTCAATCAATGAATTAGCTATAAGATCTGAGTAATTTGGATATATTTTATTCATAATGTATTCTAGTCAAAATTAACATTCTCTCACATCTTAGTTGAAATCAAATGACAAATAAGAGTTAATTGCTGAAATTGGAAGGACTCCTGAAAGAAACCGTTCGAAGCCATTATTTCATCACAGTGGCAAGTATTTCGTCGGTGCTTTCAGGATCTTTGTATTCATTATCCAGAGAGGAAATCAACAGTGCATATTGTCAAAGTGCTATCATTTATGACCCTGACGTATATTATGACCAAGCCTCCATATAAACAAAGTTATTCTTTCTTTGTAAATCAGATTAGATGTACATTGTAGAGAAAAAAAAATCCTCTTTATTTCTAATGAATTGTTGTTATTTTTGATTTCTGTTTGTTATTGATGATTTCTATAATGTTCTAAAATGTAGAAATATAAAGTGAATAAATTTAAATAAAGTGTACTGTATATTTTAGTTGATGCACTTGGTTTTATTCGATCAAAATTAAATGATAAAACATTAATTGAATTTCCTGAATTTCGTCGATCATATATTTTTTATAAATTACCAAAATGGATTAAAAGTGCAAGACGAGCACTTTATAATTTACAACTTGATATTGATTATATAATTAATAAAGAAAAAGAAATTGTTCCTGTTGATTATTTAAATACAGGTGTATCTCAAACGCATATGCATTGGAGTGATGGTGTTCATCAATTTCTTCAATTAAAACATAATTTACGTATGACACCTGAACGTATGTGTGATTCATTTTATTCAAATGTTACTTTATTTAAAAAATATGAGTATTTATATGGTTTAACGGGTACATTAGGTGGAAAGGATGGACAAAATTTTATAAAATCAGTCTATAAAATTGATGTTATTATTATACCAAAATACATTGATAGTATATTTGATATTTATTCAAGTAAATTATATTTCAGTTACATTTATATTTTTGGTAATATTATTATTTATTTTAGATCAGTTTGCTCCTCATCGTCAATCATGGTTAGAAAAAATTCGTAGAGAATGTCGTACAATTGCTATTACTAATCGTCGAGCTGTTTTGATTATTTGTCAAACTATACGTGATGCAAATGATGTTCAATCTTATTTACGTTCTCAACATTCAAATATAAAACTTTATCTTCGAAGTGATGAACATACAAAACCAGAAGATGTTCGCCCAGGTGATGTTATTGTAGCAACAAATTTAGCTGGACGTGGAACTGATTTAAGAGTTATTACATCTGTGGTTGATCGTGGTGGTTTACATGTTATTGTTACATTTATGCCAAATAATTCACGTGTTGAACAACAAGCATTTGGTCGAGCTGGACGGCAAGGACAATCAGGTTCAGCTCGATTAATTATTTATAAAGAAGATAAAAATATGTTAGCATATGGTTTAATTGACGAGATTCAAACAGTGGAAATTTGGA